TGGATCTTAATGGGTTTGATGGCAGGGAATATGGAAAGGACATGTTGCTAACATTTTTGTCTAACAATAAAAGAAACAACAACTGAATGCTCTTAAGACAAGCTGAGCTCTCAATCAGACCTGTATATAACACAATTCAGAAACACCCAGGATGACTCCTTCAGGCTTAATGGATGGTACCCTACTGAAACAAAATGTGTATTAAGAAAATGTAAAAATGGAGGAAGCAAACTCGTTTCCCACTCAACTAAAAGATATAGAAGGTGAAACCATCACCAGGACAAAAGGATTTTCTCCAAATTAGTACACTCAATGCTGGGCTTGCAGTTACCCTTCTTACTCAATGCAAGAAACCATCTTCATCCTGTTTGCACATCGTCTACAGCCTTGCAGTGTGGGATACATTTCTATTATACTGCTACTTGGTAGTGTCAATGGGCATATGTTAAATCTTCTATTGGTTCAAGCTAGTAAAACCTTGTATTTCTCTATTGCGCCGCCATTAAAAGCAGCATTAGTGCATTTTGTCATCCAGTTCTTTATCAGTTACTTCACAGGGAGTTGACTGGGTGGTGTGGGACAGGATCAGTAGGAAAGAACCTCCTGGGCACTAACCTGGGCTTTTGTTTCAATGCTTTTGCTGGTGGACTTAGCCTTCCACGTGCTCGTCATGCTCAGTGGAAGCAGGCCAAACCTCCAGGAGGAGAGGAAGAATTTCAGTGGCGCGAAGGGGCAGCCTTGGGGCCCAGTGAATGTTCTCAGGATCTGATTCACCTGATCTGACTTGAAGCCAGTGGCAGGATGTTAGGGGCTTCCTGGCAGTTGAACATACTGCTGCAGGGGGTGAACTGGTTCTCCGTACCAGTAACCAGTCCAAACAGAACCTGACATACAAGAGCGAGCAGAGTGAAATGCAGGATTTTACTGTCCAGGTCAAACAATCATTTCTCTTAAGAGTGACCACCACCACTTGATTTCTAACCATCATTTTGAGTGTGATAATACTTCAAAATTACTTTGTCACTGCCGTGGGTGAGAATCTCACGGCCATGTTGTTCTTTCTCTTTCTGAGGTTTGCGTAAAACTTTATTAATCCTTACATACAATTTAAGAGGTCAGATCACAGCCACCCCAGTGTGTGGGATTTTCTCTCATCCTCTTTCAGCCTTTGCAGCTCCACTCAGCTACCTGTGTCTCACCCCCTGCCAACACTGCTTCCTAGGGTGTAAATGCTGAGCGGGTTTCCTGTGTCACGTGAGCCCAAGTGGCAGTTCATTCACACCGAGGGTATCTTGGCAGAAGTCTGCTGCAGCAGGTGAATGAGATAGCTGTTGAGGAATGGCGTGAACACATCCAGGTCATGGGTCCATGGGCACTTCCAAGTGGTCAGTCACTTGTCACCTCAGTTCTGAGAAAAGGATTATCATCCACATATTTTTTAGGGTGAAAAAACAAGTTTTTTGTTTTTTTTTGTGTACTGGGGATTGAACTTTGGACATTGCGCTTGTGAGGCAGGCACCAGAATACAGTTTTTCTACCTATAAAAATCCTGGATGTGGATTTGATGTCTAAGTCAAGTCCTTTCCTTCTCCATGTTCTGTTTTTAGGGGAAGCACTAAGATCTCAAGTTATACCCAGCAGTTATAGGACTGACCTCCAGAGGAATGAGGTTCTGCCAAGTTTCCTTAACCATGAAATATACCCAGCAGGTGGCCACTCCTTCACTTGCTGGTGAAATGAACTCTTACTATTTAGGACAAAGCCACTGAATGTTCAGGAAGAGGTTTGCTCTTTGGGGGCAACCCAGAAAAAGGGGGTACAGTGCTCATTGGTTTATGATGGGTCATGTCCCAACAAACCACTGTAAACTGAAAGTACTCTACACTAAACCTGGTCACCACAGCCTGGCACCAGCATCTGCTGTGGAGGGAGGGTGGTTTCCCCTGACGACTGCAGGGCTGCCCTGGAGCTGTGGCCTCCTGACCCTGACCAGCATTTTGATAGAGCATCACAGTGCATATCACCCAGCCCACGAAAAGCCCTCACTGCAAAATGTGAAGGGCAGTTTCTCCTGAATGCTTACTGATTGCCCACCATATTCATGTTGAAAAATCACGAGAAGAGCCCTCATGAGCAGGGAGCATCTCTGCACTGGGAAGAGACCATGTTGGAGAGTCCAGAAGAGATCCAGTACCTGGAGTATGGCTTGCTGTGGCCACTCTTCATCTCCTCCTTGGTAGTGAGGACAATGCTGAGGTAGCGCAGGTCATAGAGGAGCTGCAGCGCCCAGTTCTGGGTCAGTGGGAATGTGCCTTCTTTCTTCAAGTGAGTCCCCATCCCAGGGAGAGACTGGATGCTTACATGGCACAGGGACCACCTGTGTGCTCTGACGGCTACAGCTTGTTTCGCAATCAGGTTTAATCTCACAACTTCGGTGTACACTAGAAAGTGGGTCATAAAGCTAAAGAGCTAAAAGCAGGGAAGAGACCCAGCCCTTAAAACAAACAAAAAGCCCTCAGTGCTGTAGATGGCATTTCTATAACCAGGGCATCATGCATGAAGGAGGGGTATTGTGAGGAACCCGAGCAGAGCAGACTTCGCTGACTCCGTCCCCAAATCAGGACTGGTCTTGTCTTTCAAATGTTTCTAATGGAGTGGGAAGCAGAGGCTGGGAGACAAAGACTCCCCTCAAGGATTTCCATGTGCCAGAGCAGTGCTGGGCACCTGCCCTCCTCACAGGCACCCTGCTGGGGATGAGTGGGGAGGTCTCCATGTTAGCTGGGAGAAGCCAGCTGAAGGCTTTATCTACTGGGCACATGTGATCCTGAGGAAATGGATGGTTAATGATTTGCCCAGAGTTTGCAGTGAGCAGGTAGCTGTGCCAGGGCTGTAAGCCGGGCCTTCTTGCCCTATGAAAGCTGTTATCTGGCTCACTTGTCCTGAACCACCTACTCCAGGAAGACCCGTCAGGTCCAGGAGAATGGGTGTGAACTCACAGAGCTGCAAGCCACCCCTAATAGAAAGGAACATATTTACAGGAACTGAAGCCTGGGCTGGGTGACCCTTAACACTCTGGACCTTTGATGTACCTGCCAGCACCCAAGAAAAAGATACACCTTTATTGGTTACTAAAGGGAGAACATTCAAACACCCACCTTCACCTGCTTTTCTGCTGCAAGTGTCTCATAGGCAGTGACTACTTGAACCATGCAGCTTTTCAGCATCTCCTGCAGTGTCACCTTCGGCAGGGCGTGGCCTCCAATCCGATTTATTTCCTGGCATAAGCTAAACAGGAAGGACTGTACGTACCAGGATGGCTAAAAGAACAAAGGAATTTCACGTTGCCAATTTACACCCATTAAATGATGTGTAGCAAAGGTGGGCCCATTTATCCTTAGGAGGCGTGCATGGCAGGACCTTGATCTCTCCACTCCAGCACCTTCCAGATACACAGCCCCTGTGGAGTCCTCCCTTCCGTACTCTGAGGTCCACCAGGCAGCTGGGACTGTAATGGTGCTGTCTGCACTTCAGGGTAAATGGTTCTCATTAGCAACAGAGCCTCAGCCTCTCAGACTGCTGAGATTATAGGCAAGTGCCACCATACCTTGTAAGAAGACCTTTCATCTCCATCTGTTGAAAGGAAAAGATGCAGGTTTTCTGTCTATAAAATCTAGGATAAAAATAAGTAGAAAAGGTTTTACACTGGAGCCATCCTGCAGAGAGGTAGGGTGCTGTTAACTATGAAATAAGATGTCACTCCCTTGCTACTGAAGGAGCTTCATGATGGTGGCAAGCCTAGTGTAAGATAAAAGTGAGGCAAATTTGAGATCCTAAGAAGTTCCTGTCAGTCACTTTCAAAAGTGCCAAGCTCCAGACTGGTAGCCCATCACCCTGCTGGAGAACTAATTATTTAACCTCCTGAGCTTTCCCCTTTCCCTGCTTTTTCAGAGCCTTCACCTCCGTTACTGGTTTCTCAGTGCTCTTAGATCTTCCCACAATGCACTGTTTCAGATGGGGGCACAGTTCTCCCAGGGACTGGCAGAGCCTGGCCATGAAAAGGACTGTGTGCAGCTTCGTGCTGCGGAGCACATTCTCCTGGCCTTGCACAGCTCCCTCGATGCTCTGCAGCTCTGCCTGGATGCAGTCTGTGATATACTTGATGCACGCCATGGAGTGAGTCCGCAGCATGTCCTGCACAGTCCCCGCATCTGCATATCGGTCAAAGGCAGAGTTCCTGACCTGCTGCATGGGGCAGGGGAGCATCATCAGAAGGAAGGTAGGCCAGGAGGTCTTCCAGTTTAACCTTCAGTTTGGAATCCAAGGCAGTACAGAAGTTCTGTACACAAGGACTAATAGCCTGGGCTCTCATGGAGAGGCCACTACTGGCTAAACGGGGTCGATTTGCCACGCTGACCCAGGCAGCATCAGAAGGCAGATCAGTGGGGCTCTCAGACCAGAGGAACAGAGACATGTTCTGCTCGAAGTGGATGTGCTTATTGGCTGTGGAATTGCCAGTGGTGCTTTCAAGTTCCTGCAGAGCTGAGACCAGGAGCTCTTTGGAGCTACGGGAGATGGATTCAAAGCCTTCCTTTGTCAGAGTCTGAAACAGAATGAGAGAAGAGTTCGGATCCCTATTCTTTAATGAAGTCTCAAAACAAGAGTACCAGATGGCAACTGACCTCAGCATTCAGAATGTTCTCCACGACATTCAGGAAATCTACATGGCATGGCCGAGAACCAAAGAGACCATCACTAGTGGACATGGGCTTGTTCCTGGCCACCTGAGTGAGGCCTGGTATGTTTTTCAGGTCTGGATTCTCTAAGTGCTAGTGGGCAGGGACAGACTACACCCAGGAAGTGACAGGAAGCTCTCAGGACAGACATGAGATCACACTGGGTTGGCTGTGAAATGGGGATCCCCTGTGGTTCTCCACTCTACCTGTAAGCGGTCCAGGAACAGCTGCCGCATCATGTCCTCCCAGAACAGGAGTGGCTTCTCCAGGAGCCTCTGACACACCACCTCCCAGCTGTGACTGGCAGACTCACATGGCATCCTGGATCCCTGCGAGCCCTTTCATGCTCCTCACATACAGGAGCAAGTTGGTTATCTCATTCTTAGTATCTTCATTACACCTGAACAATATCATTTCCCATGAGGATCATCACAAGTTTGAGGCCATGCTGAGCTACATAATGAGTTCAATGCCAGTCTGAACTATGTAGTGAGATACTGTCTCACTACAAAGTTCAAGTTTGTGGGCATGGTGGTACAGCCCTTTGGTCCAAGCACTCTGGAGGGCTGAAGCAGAGAGATTACTAGCTCAAGCCCAGCCTGGGCAACTTAGCAAGACCTGTTTCAAAATAAAAGGATAAATAAATAAGAGCTGGGGATGTATCTTAGTGCAAAGACCTGGCCCACAAAGCCTGGGATTAACTGGCTCCTGGCCACATCTTGTCTCCTTTCTTGCTTTCCTAAATCTCACCCAAGAAACTTCACCCTCACTGGCTTTCACTTCCTCCAATCCACTACCACCTTCCTTGCCTTTGGACTCTATACACCTTCTTCCCTTTGCTTGAACTGTCTTCCTTTCCTTCATCCTACTAAACTGTACTCTACCTTCAGCTTTCAGTTTAATTATCACTTGCCCAGGAAGTCTTTTCTGACCTTGGTAAATTCTTTTCATTCAGTGTTCTCAAAGAAACTTGTACTCTGCTTTTATAGCAATGACTAATAGTGGCATTAAACAGCTGTTTGCATATTCATGAATTCAATATCTGCCTCTACCACTAAACTGTAACCTCCATGTTTCTCCAGTTCCCTGCTCTGTCCTCAAAGCCTGGCACAGTAGGCTGGCACATGGTAGACACTGGGTAAAGGTCCATCAGATAAGCCAGGAGAAATGTTGGTCAAGAGCTCACCAGCAAGGAAGGACGCTGTCCCATTGCAGGCTTCAGACTTCAAACTCCTAGCAGGCCCTGTACCTTGGTTCCCCTCAACACATCGTTGCACAGGTGACTATCAAATGACTGACCTGATTGAGGTGAAGCCCAATAGCCAGCAGAAGGGGTAAGCCTGCCTGGAAAGTCAGCTGCCTCAGGGGGAACCAAGGGATGAACCAATAGCACCAGTCCTAAGAAAAGCCCACAGCTGGTGTAAACTAAAACAAACAGTGTGGAGCTTTACCCTGACAATGGCTTTTTCATGGTGGGATAGCATTAGAAAGAAATCCAGTGCAGCGCCCCCATATTACCAGAGGTTTACTCAGGTGCCATTTTGGGAGAAAGTTGATCATATGGTACTGAGCCACGGGACAGCTACACTACAGCTTCACTCCAGGACTGATGTTGTAGGGAACAGGGGAAGGGGACGTTACCAGAACCTCTGCAGTGAGTCCTGGTCTCCTGCGAGCCACGGCAGCACACGGCGAATTACAGGAAAGGTAGACAAATGAGACTGAGAAGAAGCTGAGCTTT